AAATATTAATGAATATCTCTTACCCGTGCATCGCACGGGATTCGTACTAGTTATGTCTAGTTGGATAGTTGTATTACTTTACTAGAACTATTGAAAAATCGCCATGTATATATCGCATTTTCTTTAATTAAATAAAATTCGTACTTATAAATTTAATTATAAATATAAGATACTAACTTTGTATTATTAATATTTTTTTGTTAATAAAAAAGGCTTATAGCCCTATTACACCATCAAGTTCTTACAGAGCAGAGGAGAAAAAAAAAATTGGAATACAATCCGACTACATTATCGTTGTTCTTGATCCCGCCGCCCACTTAGCACTGGCATGAGCAATCTCATTACGAAGTCAATTGGTAACAGAGTCTACAGTCTAATGAATGGAAGAGTGCTAGGATGTCCGAGAAAATGCCTTCAAAAGGGTGATTTGAATCATTCGCAATCAGCCATTGCACTACTTCAAGACAATTTGTGGTGACTTGTTGGATCTTCATTCCCATCGTAGAAGTGATTCGTAACCCAAATTGTATAGACAAAGCCTCAGCTAAAGTTAGAGAGACTGAACCGGACATATGAGATGCAAAAACCGCGACTACAAGGCCGTCTGGATTTTTTATCCAACCTCCCAAACCTATTTCAGAGTCTCGTATAGCTGCATCATATTGAAGATAACAACCATTCTCTTCCATTTTCTTCCCTTCCAAGCCCAATGATCCTATACGACGCTTCCAATAGAATCGAAAATAGTGCAAGCGCAAGCTTGGGATTGATCTTAGTCCTCTACCCACCTTAAGCCTTATGTATCATCACGTCAATATCACTCAGACAACCTCCCTTCAAAAGTGAATTTCTATCTTGCCACACCCGCCACAAAAACATAAATGGGCCAACCTATGTTCTTGCTGAGTGCCCCTTTATTTGTTGATATGGGCCTATGAAAACTTGGTAGTTAGGCTTTATCATGGGTCGAGTCTAAAATTCCCCCTATAACCCATTTCGGTTTCCGGCGACCACAAAATCCACGATGGATAAACTGCCGCCGATAATGGCCGCCTCCGAATCGGACGATGAGCTATCAGCCTTTCTGAAATCGGGCATCTACCGGTTCGAAAACGCCAACGCCTGCTTCATCGATCCCGTTCGGGTCCTGAACCGATCATACACCCGGTTCAAGGTTTCTGGCTCGGCTTACTACTCCCGCTTTTTCCACGCTTCGGAAATCACCCTTGCCAATCACAGTAATGAAGCGCCCAAAAACTCGAAAAAGCGCAAACGCAGCGAGAAGAAGAAGAAAAAGGGACAAACACTCAACTCGCGGGAACAGATGGCCGACCAACGTCATCAGGTGCGTGTGAAATTGTTCGCAGATCTGTTTTTTTTTTTAATTTTTTTTTTCCAATTTTTGATTTAGTCGTTTGTTTTTGGAGAATAGGAGGTGAGACCAGCGTTGTTGAGAGCGCACGAAGCTCTGCTGGGCACGACTCAGCTTCTGGAAGCTTTGAGGGATTTGAGAAATGACATGGAAAATTGTAACGGAGAATCAATTTCGAAGGAGAATGAGGTTGATTTTGTGGAAATAGGGAGAGTATGGCAAGCTCCATTTTACGAGATCTTCCTTAAACATCATGAAGACAACACCTCAGTCGAAACTGCAGGTTACTTTTAGTAGATTAGATGAAATTCGAACACTTGTTCTTTTTATTAATACACCCGTGGTATACAATAACGATCTGCTTTGCATTTTCATGGCATTATTATGCTCTACCTGAAATGCGTGATTTGTGTTGTTGCAGTTGATGTTATAGTCTGACCTGTTGTTTTCATGATGAATGGTGTTTTAAAGACTGCCTTTTTCGCTGTTGTGAACCGGTTTTGTTGATTCATAGACATGGTACTGTAATAACAAGTGGAAGGGGTGGTTGCCTCATGGATATACCCTAAACTCATATATTACGCGATGGTTCTTTGGCTTCTTTGCTTTCAGTAGCATGGTTATTTGAGTAAAATGTTCGAATATCTACATATTGACATGTTTCTCATGTGTAGAGTCCTGTTGTCAGACAGCACTTCCTGTGTTCAGTAATCTCATTGCCAATGAAGGGAGTCGTGAGATAGAGGCTGAATTACTTGGCCGCAAGTACATTTTGCCAAAGAGAAGTTTTTTTTACATGGTATAAAAGTTGGTCTCTTTTCACAATTTTTGGATTCAGATGCTAATTCTTTAGGCATTTAAAATTACTTTAAAGTCCGACTTTACTAATGCTTTGTTCCTTGTCATGAGGAAGTCCGATATTAATCAGATCGACAACCTGATTCCTGGTAAGAATCTTAGATCTGAAGTGACTATTTGCTCGTATCTTCACTAGTGATATAAGTAAGGTTTCTATGTGTAAAATAGCTTTTAAATTAGCTCACGGTTATTGGGGAACAGAAGCTATCACATAACATTCGTAAATCTATCTATGTTTTAAATGTGTATTATTGATTTTTGCCAGCTGATTCTGATTGTGGCTTCAACCTAATAATGATCGATCCTCCATGGGAAAATAGCAGCGCACACCAGAAACAAAAGTATGTTCGTCTTTATATTATTTGAATACTTAATATCAATTCTTACGTCCAATCACTGATGATCGATATGAACCATTCATTTTGCCCTAATATTCCCCTTCGAAAGAAATTTATATGACTTTATAATTACAGGTACCGGACTTTGCCTAATCGCTACTTTTTATCCCTTCCTATAAAGCAACTTGCCCATATTGATGGGGCCCTAGTAGCCTTATGGGTGACAAATAGGGAAAAATTGCGGAACTTTGTGGAAAATGAATTATTTCCGAAATGGGGAGTCAAGCATGCTGCCACCTTTTACTGGCTGAAGGTTTTTTGTCTTATACAAACACTGGCAAGCATTCTGTGTGGTCTGTTTTGCACATCGTTTAACCTAAATTCAACGATAGGTGAGACCTGACGGGTTGTTGGTCAGTGAACTTGATCTATTCCACCACAGGCCGTATGAATGCCTTATTCTCGGTTTTAGTCAAGGGAAGGTGAGCCTCACTCTTTGAGTTTTTGTTAATATTATATTATCGTTCTATATCTGTCATCAATGATCTTTCCTCTATGCAGGACATGACCTCCGAACAGCTCCTGAGTTTGAAGTGTATTCCTGACAATCAAATTTTCATCAGTGTCCCAGGAGACTATTCGAGGAAGCCCCCAATCGGAGGTATTGCTATGCGAACTACAAACCTTCCATTTTCAGTTTATTTTAATTATTACCTCTGAGTTTTGGCCTATTTTCAATTCACAAATACATCCAGATAATTCTTTTCCAGCTAACAAATCCGTAAATCACACACCTCAAGGGGTTATCAACTTCTTGTAATACCTTAAGTGAATAAAGCTACTTGTACAATTATTTTGTACAATTATTTTGTACAACATGATGTGTCATCATGTAGATAATTGAGATCAAAAAAATGTGTGGCTAAGATTTGTTCAATGATTGTGATAACTAGTGTTGTCAACTAATGTTGTCAACACTAGTTGTACATGTAGCATGACCCCATTTTATGGAATAAGACTAAACCTTGGAGTCGTTTTTGTTAAATTCCCCCAATTTGACTAGTTTGGTTTGGTCTAGAGAAAAATGAGTCCATTTTTATTTTTATATTTCAATTTTCTCGTTCGACAGAATTTCTACTGGAGCACGTGCTGGGATTTAAGCCCGCCCGCTGCATTGAATTGTTTTCTAGAGAGATGATGCCCGGTTGGACATCGTGGGGAAACGAACCCCTACACTTTCAAGATTCGAAATACTTTCTTCAGGCTACAGATAACTTATAGCATTTCCATCATCTATTAAGACAAGTGATTATGAGTTGGGTTCGCTATATATATGATGATTTGTCCATTGTTGATTGCTTTCGCATTCTATCTACCACCATACTGCCCCGAACATGTCATGCTTAGCTTAAAGGACTCGGTTAGTTTCCTTATGAATTGGTCAAATGGATTAGTATTAGCTTTTGAGGTTGTACGAAATGAAAGGTTCATATGGATTAGTATTAGCTTTTGAGGTTGTACGAAATGAAAGGTTTATGAGCTTTAAATACAAAACAAATCATGATACAACCCGCTTCTTTAACTTGGACCGGTTTTCGAAAGAGTCCTATGATTCAGAAGTCCGAAACATAGTGTTTCATACATTACTTGACATCCCTCGAGAAAAATGAAACCTTCACAACTCCAAGTATTATGAAGCAAATTCATTTGCCCCTAAAAAATTCAAATATAGTTGAACAAATTCATAACCATTTTACAACAAACAAAATAAATAACAAACCTTAATTCTCCCTATACGCAATGTAATCAGCCAATGCCGCTAGAGGAGCCACCTTATCCCGGTCGAAGCTCGCCAGTTGCTCCTTTGCCTCATCCTTCAACTTCACGGCAAACTCCTTAGCCTTATCCAATCCTAATAGTTTCGGATATGTTGTTTTATCCACCGCCATATCCTTACCGGCTGTCTTACCCAACTCCTCTGATGATTTAGTCACATCCAAAATATCATCCACCACTTGGAAAAGCAACCCGATTTTCCGGGCAAAGATCCTTAGCCTCTTGACTTGGTCAGTGTCTCCTCCTCCAAGAATCACTCCCATAACCACGGAAGCCTCTAATAGAACCGCAGTTTTGTGTATGTGAATGAATTCTAAAGTGTCCAACCCAACATTTTGATTGTTTCCAGTGTAGTGTAGGTCCACTACTTGACCGGCCACGAGACCCTCTGTGCCTATCGACTTTGCTAATTCTCCGATTGCCGCCAGTACTCTGCCTGGCAGCACGCCGGTGGTGGCAGTGGCCATGAATTCGAATGCAAAGGCCAGTAAGGAATCTCCTGCAAGAAGAGATTCCATACAGTAATTGTGACTTGTGAATCTCTACCAATAACTTAAAAGGTTGAATGCATTTGTAAAAATTTGTGTTCACTAAAATACCCTTTATAAATCATAACTTGTTAATGCTTTATAATGGCAAAAAAATACTTTACATGGTGTTCTTCTATCATCTACTATCTACTATCTACTGACCAAATTACCCTTCCTCTTTTGATTTTTTAATGGCTTAATTGTCATTTAATTTTATAAAAGTCAATTAATGAGAGAGAGTAATCTTGATTTTAATGGTTTAATTACAAATCATATATGTACGTTTTGTTTCTGTTTTATTGTTTGGGTATTTTTCTTTCATTTTCAGTTTAGTCAATATTTTTTGGTTAATGGTTGTAAATTCTTTTATTAATTATAGATTTAGATTTGGATGTGAACTTATATTTCCACAGTGTACTTGGTTATATTTTTTTTTTTCAAATTCTAAAGATAATTTGTTAAATCTCAAGAAAAAAATTAAAAAAACCTAACTTATATTGATTAATTTTCTCATTAAGGAAATTTTAGTTAAATTATATTATGTTATTTATTTAATAAATATTTAAGATTAAAGATACAAATTATAAGAGAATACTATTTTAGATTACATGATTATATTAACTCAAGTAATATGATATATTGAAAATGGGTTTAGTAGATTTGGGGAATAATAATCAATAATATTATAACTTTAAGAAATATTTATGGATTAGATGAACTAAAAAAACAGTTATTGTCAGCACTTATATTATAAAAGAAATCAATAAACCAATATAATTTTAAAGGTTCAGTTGCTTTTGTGCCAATTGAACTCATGCGGTTAAAAAATGAACTACTAACGTGCAAAAGGCTTATGAAACTCTTAACTAACACTAGCTTATCTATCCTTACAACGCACGAATTGTAAACACAATAATTAAACAGATATATTGTTAAATAATATTTTATTATAATTTCATAATAACAATTTGATATTTTACTTATATTATTTTATATGTTATTAATTAATTATACATTTTAATAATAAGATTATATTTTTCTTTTGAATAATGATACACCTATGGTTTGATAGACGACTCATTAATTTTTTTATTTAATTTTTTTTTATGTACTTAGTGCTTGAAATAGGCTTCTTTTATCTGTTTTTTGTATTTATATTTATTTTCTACATAATGGTTTTCAAACTAATATCGGATAACACGTGGTCTCTTATGTTGGATAATTTTTTATTTGATAAAAAATAATTAATAAACTTGACACACATTTTTATTTATTTTTTATTATAATTATTAAACAACTTATAATTATTTTATCATAATTGACATTATCTTTTCATTGTATTTACCCATGAGAGTCGAATCAAAAGTCACCATGTTACATACTTAAAATTTATTTGGAGTAAATAGTAATTTTGCTCATTCTATTTTCTTAGTGTCTATATAAAAACATTTAGATAATATACATAAAACATTATATAAATTTAGTTTAAATTATTTTAAATTTCAATGTCTTTTGTTCGAAAAATAATTTTAAATAACTATGGACTTTTTATGTAGTTGACTAAATTAAGTAAATAAAATATAAAACATAAACTTGAAACATCAGAGATACTAAGAAAATTGCAAGAGCATATATATGGCACATGTCGATTAAAATATAAAATTATTTGCTTTAATATAAAAAATGTATCTTAATTTTGGTATATTGTCATATTTATAATTCAATCATCCATATAAGACAACAATTTAACCAAATTAGTTAGTCATAACATTTTCAAATATAATGACATTAATGGTTTATAAAATAATAAAAACATTAAATTGTGTATAAAATAAAATAAAAAAAAACCGGCTTTCTTATTCTATCCAAAAAACTTTGGACGTAAAACATCCTGTAGCGGGCCATTTGTTTTGGATTATTTTGAGATTATTATTTATTTTATTTATTTTGTATTATTTATTTGGGCTCGATTAGTTAATTTCTATGTGATTATATGCTCGTATGTGCTTAAGTGAATCTATTTTCTTATCGAGCCGAGTAATTAAATTAATTTTCGAACCGAGTATAGAACTGAGTCAGACCTTTATTTTAATCGCACGCGCCACGTAGTCGGGAATTTAATCGAACACCACGTCCAAGACCTCGGGCCTCAACCGCGCAAATCTCGTGCCCACGCCGCCCGCGTAGCTGCCCGACCCTTGGCCACCCATGCATGAAAGCCTTGGCTTTGAATGTTGAATTCAAAGTTTTGTAACTCCTTATCCCTTAAAGTTAGCCATTATCCCACATTATGAGCTTGACCAAGACTAAAGGGGGAGGTTACAAGACTATCTTAAAAGGAAGGTCCCTTCACTCTCTCCCCCTCTCTCTTTCACACCATCTCACTCACTCCCTTCTCTAAAAAAAATAAAAAAAAAATCAAAACATCACCTCTATTTCCTTCTCTCATTTTTTCACCGGAAAATCCCGTCCTAAGTCTCGGGAAATCAACCGCGCACATGCCATCGCGCGCACCGCATGCATGCCCCATTGCCGAGCCGCGTGACGCCCCGTTCCCGAGCCCCGTTGCTCATCCAACCGATGTTCGAGCCCCCTCCTTGGCTGCTGTTCAACACCCATTTCGACCACCAAAGGACTCTCATTCGACAAGCGAGCCGCCGTTAGACGCCGAGCGAGCCAAGCGGACGATTTCCCCGCCCGTAGGATTCAACTGAGCTGTCTTCTTCTCCTTTGTTATTGGTATTTTGTTATTTTCATATTATATTATGTAATTATAAGATTATTTTTGAATATGTGAGTTTCTTGAATTAATTGAATTTATATGTTATTATATGATTATTAGTGTATTGAATTATATGAGATCTATAAGGTTTAGTAGTGAACCTTTAAGATCTGATCGAAACTCATGGATACCTCTTGGATTATGGAACTTCTTTGTGTCCTGATCACAATAGTCTTGACCTTGTGCATTTTGGACTTGTATTTTTCAAGATATGCATTTTTAATATTATGTGTCTGCTGGAAAGTTTGAAATTCGTGATAATTTGCTCAGTTGTCCAAAAATTCTGAATTTTTATTATGTTGCTCTTGTGATGTATATTGATTTTGTGTTTAAATGTCATAATTTTTGGAGTTGAAGTGATAGGGTAAATAATTATATTATCATTCTGGCAGAATATTCAATAAATCATATAAAATCGAGTTTTCATTTTAAATGCATGAAACTTGGTTATTGTTCATATTTTATGTGATAATTTAATCCAATAAAATTATCAGAAAATTTGGGATTCAATAAGTTGTGTGTTTGGGAAAATCGGGTTTTTGGCTGAATCTGGTTTCAATTTTCAAAGTTTACATGTTGATGTTTTAAGTGTGGAATTTTTATATGTTTCTTAGATCATGATGTAGTATTTATGATAAAAATTTGAGGTCTTGAAACATTGATATGATCAGAGGTTAAATTCATGTCCATAAACGTTAATTATTTTCATTAAATTGTTATAAATGGCTCATTGATATTTTAAAAACTGAAACTTTGTGATTTATCTTAGTTCAGCATGTATTATCATATGTTAAATTATTGGATT